CATTTATCCAGCTGAGCTCAAGATAAATGTCCCTTTCTGGTGACCTCGACCCCGCGGTGGCCAGCTCCCTCCTGCCAGCATCGTCCACGCGGCGCAGGGCAGAGAACCTCAAGGGTGGGAAAAAGGGACGCGCGGCTCCCCAGACTCAGATCACTCGGGGAAAACCCGTGTTCTCCCGACCGTCGGTAACTGTCCGGATCGCACAGAGCTGCTGTCCCCAGGATGTGTCTCTGACCAGCTCTAGACACCCCCAAAGTCAATCCCGCGGCCGGTGGTGTTCTTGGCCCTTGGGCCCCTGACTCCCTGTGGGGGTCCCACCTCCAGGGGCTGTGTCTGAGCCGCCCTGACCCTGAGCCCCGTGGGTTCCTGGGCGCCAGAGGCCGAGCTGCCCTCTCCCCCACGTGTCTCCGAAACGCCCCCCTCACTGCGGCAGCTGCGCTGGCCCGGGTGCGGCCACCTGGCCGGGAAGGTCACAGGAACCCACTAACGGCCCGTCCTCTGTCCCCAACATGCCCACCTGCCCAACCAGAGCCGGGCTTCGTCTGTCAACGTTTTTGAAACCCAACTTCAGGCACTTAGTCTCTTCAATGATCCCCTGATGGTCTGCTGTCACCGACCAAACCCCACGTCCTCCTCGTGGAGACTGGGGCCCTCCACGTGCACCGTGGGCCTGCCACGTCCGGGGCCAGGCCACAGCAGGGCTCTGTGCCTGGGCAGCCATGCCGGGAGCCCCCCGACAACGCCCTGCTCAGCTCTTCCCAGGGGCAGCTCTCGGTCGCTGTCCCTCGGGCATGACTGGCTGCTCGCTTCACACGTCTGGGGCACGGTCACCACGGGGCCTGCTGCTCAGACTTCAGGCAGGTCTCGGGGCTCAGGGGCTCCCCAGGCGGCACCGGCAGGCCCCCAGGGAGCGCAGAACGGGACCAACAATCCACACTCTCTGAGGGGCCGCCGTCCAGAGGCTCGGAGCGGATGTCAGAGCCCCCCCCGGCCACGCGAACAAACATGCCCGCGGCTCGAGAGCGGGAAGTGTCTTCGCAGGGCGGGGAGCTCGGACAGGAGCCGGCCACAGCCGCACCCGCCACAGCCTGCGCTAGGAGCCGGGAGTGGGCGCCGTGCGCTCTGGCATCGGGGACGGGGCGCCCAGACAAGGGACGAGCTCAAGCGAAGGATTTCAAGGGCCCCGCGGCAGGTCTAGGTCAGGCAGGGCGCTCTGCGGGGCTCAGGGCCCGGCACGCCGCCCGCCCGCAGCCTTCCCTGAGGAGGCGGAACCACTCGCTGTTCTAGCAGAGGCGCTCCCCGAGGGGCCGAGGCCCGGGAGAGCCCGAGGGCCGCCCGGCTCCGACGCTGAGCGGCTGCTCAGGGTCCCCGAGACCCCGAGACCCCCAGAGAGCGGGTGACTTCCGCCTTCCGCGGGGAGGCTGCGGTGACCGGGGCGCGGCGATGGGTTCACGCGGCGCCCACGGACGTGCGGAGGACCCGTCAGTGGCCGGGGCAGAGCCCAGCCAACCCTGCCCTGACGCCGACCAGCTACCGCCTGCGACCCGCCTCCCGCCGTCCCGCAGAGAAGGAACAGGAGTCGAACCTGCGTGAATGGGGAACCGCGTGAAAACCCAAGCGAAGGGACCGCGCCAGAGTTCCATCAGGGTTCGCTCCCGATTTGGTCACTGGACCAGTTCTCAGGAAAGTCATTTGGGGAAAAGGGAGGTGATGCTGCAACTTTCTCTCACGTGGCTCCTGGCCTCGCTGCGGACTGGGGACCGGCTGCGGAGACAAAGCACAAGTGCGATCCGAGCGTCAGAGCGGGAAGGTGCTGGTGCCACGAGCGCACGGGGAGTCTGGATCCTCCCCAGCCCCTACACGAGCGCGCAACTCTGTGACTGGTGCCCAAAGCCACCCGGCCCACGTGTGGGCTTTGATCCCGAGGCGCTGACTGTAGCTCAGCGATCAGGAAGGAACCGGATCTCCCCTCCATCCACCCTGCTCCTCCTGCTAAGCGGGTGTCCCAAGTCCAAGCAAACCACAGAAACCCTATTGCTGTTTACATGGTAAGACCTGATTAGTTTTCTTTTTTTTTTTTACAAGAGGCAGAGGTGATTTGCTTAATTATTTTTGTGAAAAAGCATTAGAGTATTTTAAAACTTTGAAGGATGAGTTCTGCATTATGAATGTCTTATAAAAATTCTTATTTTAAAATAATTTAAGACTTACAGAGTTGTTAAGAATATACTTTGTATAAACTTCACCCAGATCCACTACTGGTTAACATTTTGCCTCCTTTGCTTTATCTGGGTCTTTGGGCAAAGAGGGAGGGGAGGGGTGAGGGGGGACTGTACTGTTTAGGTGTAGCCCAAGCCACAGGCTAGGCAGATTTCCCTAAACTGGAAAGATAAGGTGTGCAACCAGCAAACCTGTTATTTCAAAATAAACCTTCACTGGCACTCTAAATAAAATATAAAAAATTACTTTATTTATACATTTTAGTACATTAAAAAGTTTGTTCCTTATTCTGTTTTAGAGATGAAATCCCCTAGGGACTCCCGGCTGCCTCAGTCGGTAGAACATTTGACTCCTGATCTCAGGGTCCAAGCCCCAGGCTGGATGCAGAGATTACTTAAAGGGAAAAGAAGACTAAGTCCCCTAAAAGACAAGGTCTTTTCACAAATTCTGTCAATACAATAGCGGTTCTCAACCTGCACCACAAGAAGCCCCCAAATTCCATGTATACCAAGCACTGGGGACAGTGTTTTCCAGATGCAGAGTATTACTGTAATACATCTTACTTTTTTAAGATACATTTTATTGTACATGGGATATAGTAAACTATGATACTTCAGGGTTAAGTTTTACTTTATCTTTTTTTAAGATTTTATTTGTCAGAGACGGAGTACAAGCAGCGGCCAAGGGAGAGGGAGAAGCAGACTTCCTGCTGAGCAGGGAGCCTGACCCAGGATCAGGGCTTCGTGCATGACCTGAGCCAGAGGCAGCTGCTTCACGGAACCACCCGGCGCCCCAACCGTAACACATTTTGAAAACCCGTATGTTTACAAGCAAATCTGAGTTCACAGTAGCTTTTGGTCAAGATACACTTACTTACTGACAGCATACTAACATGTGATAACCCGTGACAGTTTGCTGCTACAAAGGGCTTTTACACTGAAAAAGGAGAAATTAACGGACGGACGGCCATCTAATACATGCCAGACGTGGACGTCAGGAACGAAGTCACCAATTCATCCCACGGCAAAGAGACAGTTTTATTGCTTTAGTAACAAAGACAATATAAAAAGAGGATTCCGTTGACATAAGTTTATCTTCTGCAAAAAGTCAGCCTGCGCAGCCACACCCCCCACTAGGTGAGGGCCGTGTCAGGGACCGGGGACCGTTCTTCTCAGTCTTAGCAGCTGCCCCCGCCGTCAACGGCCTGCAGGCAGGTCTGCGGGTCGTCGAGGAAGCGGGAGCTTGCGCTGAGCGCAGGTCGACGGTGTCGGTAAGCCCGAGGTCTCGCTCGAATGACACACTTTTCTTCCGAGCCCGACCCCGGGACGCAGGCGGCTGTGCTGAGCCCCAGTGGAGGGGGGCACCTGCTCAGCCCTGCCGGCTCCCCACCTGACTCGGGCTCCCTGCCTGACTCCCGCCCGCAGAGAAAGCGCAGGCTCACCGCCAGTGCGCCGTTCCCCGCGGACGCGGCTCGGGAGCAGCTGGGAGACGCGGTGCTGGGCGGCCGGCAGCGGGGCCAGCGAGCTGGGAGAGGCCAGCAGGCCGCTGTTCGTGCTCCTTGTCTGTTCAAGACTTAAACCGTTTGTTTAGGGACACACACGGAGACGCTGCCAACGTCACGCGGTCATTTCCAAACACACGCTGCTGTCGGCTCAAGTACAGACGGTGTCTGAAAGCCTGCGACAAAGGGGGTTTCCACAGGAGCGGCCTCCCTCGGGCCAGGGGAGCCCCCTATGGGACAGCGCGCCACCGGCGCCGGGCAGGTGTCGATGCCCCAGAAGAGACTATTCCGTGCACACGTGCTGGTAACTTTTCGATAACCTCAGGGGACACTTAACTCAAGTTCGCAGCATTTAAGACAGAGAAGCCAATTCTAAGAGCTGGAGAAGGACAGACATTCGTCGGTCACGACTGACTTTGCACAGACTCAGCCAGAGCCGACTGTACTCGTGGGGCGTGTCTGTCACTAGGTGAGCGTTCACGGCTCCCAGGCGGCAGTGCTGTCCCAGTCACTTACTCCTCCCAGGACTTCGCCCAGAGGCCCACCCATCCAGCGTCTGACAGCTCTCTGGTGCCATCCGTGTTGAGTAAAGCACGGCGTGTATAGGACAGACACGCATGGGACGGACACACACAGGACGCGCCCCTGCACGTGGGAACCGCAGCCGAGTGCCGGCAGGAAGCTCCCGTCCACACTGTGCAAGACAGGTGTCCACAAGGCTTCGGGCAACCGCTCACCCTCCCCACACGCTTGCGTTCCCAACAGTGAAATAATCCATGAGGTATCAGCTACCACATTTAATTAATGGTTTTTGGACTTTAAATCAGTCCATCAGAAAGATAAAAGACCCATCCATTTCTTTATCACTGCACCATCTAGCGGACCATCTATTAAAAATAAGGCCAACACAGGGGCACCGGGGTGGCTCAGTGGGTTAAAGCCTCTGCCTTCGGCTCAGGTCATGATCTCAGGGTCCTGGGATCGAGCCCCGCATCAGGCTCTCTGCTCAGCAGGGAGCCTGCTTCCCCCTCTCTCTCTGCCTGCCTCTCTGCCTACTTGTGATCTCTGTCTGTCAAATAAATAAAATCTTAAAAAAAAAAAAAAAAAAATAAGGCCACCACACACGTGATCACACGCACCCCGCCCTGTCTCTACTGGAGGACATGCCCGTGGCTGCCTGTCCTGCCCTCCCTGCCTTCTGCCCTCCCTACTCTGGAACAGATACGTGAGAACGTTTAAAACAGAAACACAGTATGACCTTGAATTTTAAAGTTACCAGAAACGTAGATCTCAAGCACAGCAGCCCGTGGCAGAGCCCTGCCACCTGCACACGCGGCCAGCGGCGTAACGAGCCTTCTGGGTTTAAAAAGGGCATTTTCAGAGAAATGAGCACGCCACTCCGCTCCGCTTTGGGACTACATCGTCAGGGAAGCCTTGCCCTGCAGGGCCTTGGTGGAGAGGTCGGCCCTCGCCCTCAGCTGGCCGGCTGCCTCCGCGCTCGTGCTTGCTGGCGCGCCCCTCAGCAGGAAGTGGCCAATGAAGAGCTTCAGACCTTCTCTCAGCAGGCCCAGCTTCGGGCTGTCGCTCACTCTGCAAGGGGCACAGAAGTGGGCGTCAGCGAGGAGCCAGCCTCCCCCGGTCCGCGGCTCCTGGGAACCTCCAACCGGGAGACGGGACCGAATGGCTTTGAAAAGCAGAATTCTCAACTGAGATAACAGCGCACTCCGCGCTTTAGAGACCGTCACTGCCAGCTGTCAGGCAGCTTCACGCTCCCCAGATCGAACGTAGAAGACACCAGCTTCAAATAAGGTACTAAGCTGCGTGTCACGTATAACAACCTTGCTTTTTCTAAGTCAACGTAAGTGAAAATAACTTCCTTCATCTCTTCTCCACGTTTTAACAAAAGAAGCTGAGAACATACCTTGAAAAAATTGAACCAAGGTCTTCAACTTCTGTTTCCATTAACACAATATACAATACTTTTCGTAAAAAGTGGACTCTGGGTTTATCCAGTTCGCCGAATTCAACTACCTAATTAGAATCAGGACAGAGAAAATAAGTCACATTTAATCAATTTTTTCAGTAATTTCAAAAAGTAGGGGCATCTGGGTGGCTCAGCGGGTTAAAGCCTCTGCCTTCGTTTGGCTCAGGTCATGATCTCAGGGTCCTGATACGGAGCCCCGCATCGGGCTCTCTGCTCAGCAGGGAGCCTGCCCCCCCCCACCTCTCTGCCTACTTGTGATCTCTGTCAAATAAATAACAAAAAATCTCAATAATTTCAAAAAGTAGAGTAAAAACTCACCCACCCCTTTAGGTAAGGCTGTTTCCAGCTACAAAAGATGGAAGAGCTATGGGCACGGGCGTGTGGCCACGGCCTCTGTGCCCTGCTGGCAGGGGCATGCACGGCACTGTCCAGGGCGACCTTCCCTGGATGGAGTTTCCGTGAATCAGGAATTTAATTGTAAAATTGAAACATTATGTATCTCCAAGCCTTAAAGAAACTACGCCCTAATTAAAACCGTACATAGTAAATTTGGATCTAGAAGAAAATCACTCATATAATATATATTCCCTAAGAATCCCATATAAATTTTGGTACACTTACACACTGGACTACAGAAGCGCTAAAATCAGAGAAGAGAATCCCAGATTTCAACGTGGCTGTGTTTCAGGCTCGTGCTGACTTACTGAACCGTGAGGGGCTATCTGGAGCGTGGGGCTAGGAGACTGTCATCCACACGGAGGGGGACCGTGTGTGAAGTAAGAGGACGGGCCATCTGCGGGAAGAGTTCCAAAGCGTGCCTGTGGGCCAGAGAGGCCCCTGGGAACGGCGGGTGGTGGGAGAGCAGAACAAGGGACCTGGGACAAGCTTCAAGGACAGCTCCGGGTTCTAATGAACCTGGGGAATGACCGTATCCTCTTTGGTTCGGAGCTCAAAACCTAGTGAACTGAGGGCAAGATCTAGCCGCAACGAGAAGGCAGCCCCTCCATGCTTTACAGTGCTCCCGTGTTTGCAATGTGGTGTAAAGCTCAGTGGCCCAAACCTAGTCCCACACCCCGGAGAGACACACAGTGACCCCACGTCAGCGCCCTGGTGGATGGCCACATGCGCACAAGTGGGAGATGGCGCCTGCAGTCCGTCTGCGGGTCAGGGAGCAAGAGGCACAGAAGCCCAGGCCTGTGCATTCTCTGGCCCTCAGGTTCCCTCACTGTCCCCGTTTTTATGCCCAGGCCGTGGTGGTCCCGCTGTCCAGGTCTGGCGGCCACCTCCGACCCCACATGCTCTGCCTAGGTTCCCCTGTCCACTCTAGACCAACAGCACAGCATGTACATCTCACTGGCTCTGATGAGACGCAGAAACATGGCAGGGCTGGGGTCAGGGGCGGGGCACCCACCACAAAGGGAGAGGCGACCACGGAGTCCCGAACCACAGCTCACCTGCTCCGACGCCTCCCTGTCCTCCTCCCCGCTTAGCAGCGGCCAGTGGGGGACTTAGAACTAGGACCTGCACATGAACCCAAAGTGCAAGTGAGATTCTCAGAGATGAGCAAAACAACTGTACCCATGCCTTGTTCAGAGCTACGTCTACACTGTAAGCCACTCTGGCTACTTTCTAGGACGGCTAGGACGTGATAAACATACGTCCCCAGTGAGTTAGAATCTAAGGACGCGCTTTTTCTTGAGGTACTGGATATGAACAATCACACTACCGTTTTCATCGCTTTTCATGCTTTCATCCAAGATACAAACCTTTAAAATAGAAAGCGGAAGTGATTTCGTCTTCAACAAGTGGGCTACCAGGTGAACCAAATTAGAGAAATTAGTGGCTGGCAAATTTTCCAAGTCCCGAAATTTATCCCATATGCTGAACTGGAAAGTCATCTGATGGGGGAAAAAAAAGAGTTACAATGCGGGCCGCTGTTAGAACAAGTCGCCAAGATGTAATCCAGATGTATTCTACTGCTCATTTACTCAGAGCGGTGTCCAAGTCAGGACGAGCCCGGAGCAACATGGCCTCCTTCCCTGCACACACCCCCTCCTGTCCTGCCACAGTAGCTTCTTTCTGTGGTGGGTTTTCCCCTCCAATCGGCAGAAATGCTGAGAAAGATGAGAAGGCTGGTGCCATCTAAGATCAAAAAGGCACTCCCCCGGGGACACAGGCTGCACGACACCCTCCTCTGAGATGGGAAAACGGGTCCTGGCACTCCTTTGCCCCGTCACTTGGCCTCCATGACACCCACCTGCTCTCCCTGAGAGAGAGCCTGGCTGCGGGCATGGGTCCTGGAATTGTCCCCCTGCACACGGCACTCGGCGCAGGCTACACGTCTCACTCGGGGTGCTCATTCTGGGTGGGCTGAGCCAGAGGACGTCCAGGGAAATAGTGGAGCACAGGTGACTGGTGGGCTGCTAGTGGGCTTACCTGGAACCTTCTCTGGTATTCACAGAACTTGCCAGCCAGGAATGCGTAGAAAGGGTTGTAGGTTTTCTCTTGAAGGCAGCAATGCATGAGAACGTGAACGATTTCCCGCTCCTGCTGGTCCTTCAGCCGCAGCCTGCAGCGCAGAGGACACAGAGACGGCGGGTCAAGCTCTCAGGAGGGCGCACCCTGCCTGACAGTCTGGCTCAAGGGGAAGGGAGGAGAGCAGTGGGAATCACAAGACAGGAACGGTGGGCAGGCCGGTCCTCGTGCCCGCGTACTCTGCATTTGAAGCCCATAAAGGAAAATAAGCATCCGATTTGTTGAGAAGTATTTTGTGAAGGTACACGGGTACTTTCAAAATCTTTTTACAACTAATTACAGAAACTATACCAGGAAGTTTTTAATTTAGAAGTCATCAGAAACACAGCCTCAATATGAGGATTTTTTTTAAAAAACATTTTTTTATTTATTCATTTGACAGAGAGATCACAGGTAGGCAGAGAGGCAGGCAGAGAGAGAGGGGGAAGCAGGCTCCCCTCTGAGCAGAGAGCCCAACGTGGGGCTGGATCCCAGGACCCTGCGATCATGACCTGAGCTGAAGGCAGAGGTTTTAACCCACTGAGCCACCCAGGTGCCCCCAATAGGATTTTAAGTAAACTTATAACCACCCACAGACACTGTGACTGATCAGTTGGTCAGCTGAGACTTTTAATCAAAATATGCCATAAAATGTTTCAATTTGGGACCACCAGTGGCCAGTACAGGAGCAAGACTGGACCCACGGCAGGAGGGGAGAGAGGACAGTCCAGTTGTCCCGAGCAGCATCTGACCGGACCCTCTGTAAAACCAACTGTGCTGATTTCTTCAACAACATCTGATCACAGTGTCTGCACTAATGCTTACTTCAGAAGCTTCTCAAACGCGTCCAAGAAATCTTCACTTGTCATTATTGTACAGAATATGTTCCTTCTGACATCAGTGTTCATTCTCTGCTTTCGGGCGAGTTCTAGTATCTTCCCACTAACCTGAAAGAGGGGCAATTAAGATCACATCGATGTTTCAAGGAGAAGTTACTCTGATTTACTGTGGTTACCAAGTCTCTAAAAGACAACACACACGCTTCCCTGGCTTATACTGAAGACTAATTCTGAATTACATGGAAATACGTTTATGTGTGAATGCTACATCTTTATTCTTATATTCTTATTTACGCTCCCACAAGGGAAAACCGGCAATACCAACAGCCAGAAGAGGCAGGACGATGAGGTGTGTCATGGGATCCTGAGACCAAAAAGGGTGATCAGGGGAAAATGAAGGAAACCTGAATAATATAGGAACTTTAGTTAATAATCAAATGCCAAGAAATGAAGAATTCTGACAATCTGAAACCCAAGTCTAATGGACGGGAAGCCACACCTTGTGGGAACACCTGTCCCTCAGGACCGGCATCTGCAACCCGAGGGTTCAGATTTTCCCAGGCTCCCCTTGCTCCATTCAGCTTTTAAGTCCTTTATGTACAGTATTTTGGGACTTAAAAAAACTGTTAAAAAGAAACCACAGAAATTGAGTGAAATCCTATCACAAAACAGTAACAACTTCTGTAGGGTCTCTGAGGAAACCATGCAACCAACCGGGGACTCCCGCAGGGCCTGCCGCGGGACACCAGGGGGACGGTGCAGGGCTCTCATACCGTCCCCGAGGGTGGCTTCTCTGTGACCTTCTGCTGACTGTTGTCAATCATAGGGGCCCCAGTCCACGCAGACCCCACGATCCACCAGCGGCCGGTCTGCTCGGCGTTCAGGATGCCGTCCCAGGAGATGCGGAGCTGAGTTTCGGCGCCCGAGCCGGCGCTGCGCACCTGAGAGAAAGGAGCAGGTGAGACACTCCAGCTGGCTCACAGTCTGCACTGTCGCCACCTCGGGTGTTTTCTTTTTCTTTTTCAAAGATTTTATTTATTTATTTGACAGACACAGATCACAAGTAGGCAGAGAGGCAGGCAGAGAGAGAGGGGAAAGCAGGCTCCCCGCTGAGCAGAGAGCCCGATGCGGGGCTCGATCCCAGGACCCTGGGAACATGACCTGAGCCAAAGGCAGAGGCTTGACCCACTGAGCCCCCAGGCGCCCCTCGGGTGTTTTCTGCTCCTGACTGTGGAACTGCCGGCTCATGAGCACTGTGCCGGGTCACTGACAACCGGGGCAGCTGACCAGTTTGGAATCATACCAAAGGCAGAGATAAACTCAGTGCCTCTGCCTGCGGGCTGAGGGTCTATCACCCCGAACACTGCTGTCTTTGGAAAGCTGTCACACCAGGCAAGAGGCTCAGAGGGAGGTGTAGACCCCAAGGAAAGCCGCACAGAGCTGGGGGTAAGAACTCGCCCAGGAGCACCTGGGGTTTGCGGAGCCAACGATTTGAGACCTGCCCAGAGCCAGCGCTGAAGGACTCCCAGGCTGGGGACGTCAGTGCGTCTCAGCTGCCACCCCACATCGGGGGCACCTGGGGAGCCTCGACAGGTGGGCCCCCACCACCCCGACGCTGACTTCATCAGTCTAGGTGGGACCCTGGCCTGAGCTCTCTTTCAAAGCGACCAGAGTTTTCTATGGTGCGGCTGAGTCGAGCACCACAGGCTCAGTGCTGAGGACGCTGTGCTCATAGGGACGGCCCCACACCCGGCCCACTTGGAGGGTCTCACCACAGAAATGTGACACTTATTCCCAGTATCTTGGAACTCCCCCCCAACCTTTTAAAAAAGATTTTATTTAACAAAGAGAGAAGCAGCGAGAGGGAATACAGGCAGGGGGAGGGAGAAGGAGAAGCAGACTCACCACCGAGGAGGGAACCCGTTATGGGGCTCGATTCCAGGACCCTGGGATCATGACCCGAGCCGAAGGCAGACACTTAACCCACTGAGCCATCCAGCCTGGAACTTTTTTTTTTTTTTTTAAAGATTTTATTTATTTATTTGACAGACAGAGATCACAAGTAGGCAGAGAGGCAGGCAGAGAGAGGGGGGGAAGCAGGCTCCCCGCCGAGCAGGGAGCCCGATGCAGGGCTCGATCCTGGACCCCAGGATCATGACCTGAGCTGAAGGCAGAGGCTTTAACCCACTGAGCGACCCGGGCACCCCCAGGAACTCTTTTTTTAAAAGGATTTATTTACTTTAGAGCAAGAGAGTGCAGGCACCAGCAGGGGGAGGAGCAGAGGGACAGAGACTCTGAAGCCGCCTCCAACTGCCCTGGGCATGGGGCCTGACACCGGGTGTGATCTCACCACCCCGAGATCGCGACCTGAGCTGCAATCAGGAGTCAGCTGCTCAACCGAAGGAGCCCCCCAAGCGCCCTCTTGGAATGATTACTAACCAGACATGGCACCTGACTTCCAGCTCCGATCGCCTTCAGTTTCACAACGAGCCCATGTGGACAGGGGAGCTCACCAGGGGCACCGGGGCAGCTCCGTCGCTCAAGCCTCTGACTTCAGCTCAGGTCATGAACCCAGGGTTCTGGGATCGAGCCCTGCATCAGCTCCCTGCTCAGCGGGAAGCCTGCTTCCCCCTCTACCCTACCCTCTGCTCGTTCTCTAATAAATAAAATCTTGAAAAAAGAAAAGAGCCTCACCAACGCTCTCTGTAACTTCCTGAGCTTCTCCACAGGCTCAGGGTCATAGCCCGGGATCTTCCGCACGTCATTGTTCTTCAGCGCCAACATGGTCTCCAGCATAAACCGAACCTGTAAGGAAACAAAACAGAAGAAACCACCGTTTCAGAGCCCAAACAACAGACCCTCTATTCTGGGAAGAGCCACATCGGCCACATACAGGGTCACTGCTGCTGACAGTAAACCGGTGATGGTTTTCTGGGGAGAGAGTCGCCAATATGAACCTCTTGCTCAGGACCACATCTCAATACGACTGTGCCACTTGGCCTCTGCCAGGACCCTGAGCACCTCGAGATCTGATGTCTTCTCCTCCCCCCCCCATCACCTCTGACCCACCCCCGGTGCCCATCACACCCCCGCGGTCTTAGTTGCGCTGTATTCCAACTTCTTCCCCGTGCCTGTCCTTTTTACCTTTTTAACTTTCAAAACTGAAAATATCCTAATTAGGAAAAGTTGCGAGAACGATAAAAAAGAACTTCTGCATACTCCCCCCCCGAGCTTCTCCCCACCACCACCTACTTACCTCTACCTAACCTGCCTGCTGCAAAGCTCCCGTTTAACAGCGCACCCTGCTCACAGTCGGGGTGTGCAGCTGCCATGGTCAACGTCAGAAGATCATCATCCCCAGAAAGAAACTCCACGCCCACTAGGGGCACTCCCCATCTCCCCAACCGCATCCCCAGGAAACAGAGGCTCCTTCCTGCCTCTGCTGTCTTCTGTGTTTTACACTTGGCCTCAGAGCATTCAATCCAGGAACAAGTGCTTCCTTGGGACACTCTGGGACCAGGCTCCAGGAGCCTCGTCCTGCTCTCCCTCCCCTAAACAACGCAGCTGAATGCCGGCGCTCCGTCCGCTCCCCACTGGACCCCAGCAACTCCCCAGCCTGCGCAGCTCCTGGGATCGCACCCCTTCGTGGGTGACCCCAGCACCTCATTTCAGGATTTCCGAAGCAGCCTGTCTTTCCTCCTGAGTCTGTCTCATTTTACTGTCCTGCCATCCACCAGGGGTAACCCTGGTCCTGCCTGTCCTTCATACTGCTTCTCCCACCAGCCCACGCCATCTGCTCACTCCTACCTCCTAACCCCACAGCCACTGCTGCTATGCTAAGGCTCCCTGCCAGAGTCTGAGGTGGCCTCTCCCTGCCCTGCCCTCCTGCCCCCTTCTTGGTGTGGTCAAAGTGCCATGGAAACAGCATACATCGTTTACCTGGCTCAGAACCATCTGTGCCTCTAGGATAAAATCCCAAGCCCCTGAAAAGGTTCACAAGGCCTCTTGAGGCCAGCCTCCGCCTGCCCCTCCTGCCCTGCTCCCCTGCAGGATCCCGACACCAATACTTCTCTTGTTTCTAAAGTGACATCCTCTCCTCTCTTATCGGCTTCCCACGGCTCGCCTGTGCCTCTCAAGCAACTGGCAGATGAGGTGGGAAGTACAATCAGCCCCCACTTTCTCGATGGGGAAACCAAGGCTTGGAAGACTCAGGGCCCATCGTTGTTAAGCAGCAGGGAGGAAATCCAAGAGCGCTGTCGCCTGAGGGCCGTGCCATAGCCTTCCTGAGGAAAACGCTTTCTGAATGGATAAATGTTAAAGAAACTGATTCTTAAATTCACAGAATATCTGAGTCCTTAGAAGAAAAATAGTTCTTTCACATTCTGGTGATAAAGCCACAAAACCTGACGAGGCAAAAAAACAATGGGGATCGCGAAGAAATTACATGTGATTTTACCCCAAACACTTATTTTTAAGCTCTGGTCAGCGTGTGAGCACTCGGGCACTCAGGAGCAGGTCAGGCTTACCCTGGTCTGGTCCTGGAACGTGCCGCTGGCCGTGATGGCTTTGGCCTGGGCCTCCACGATCAGTTCCTTGAGTGACAGAGCATCATCTTTTCTCAACGAGAAGCCCACGGTTTTCAGCATTAACAGGGTCAGTTCAATATCTTTTTCTGTGAAAGTCCCAATAAGCTTCTTCAGAATGTCAAAAACCAGGCAGGCGTGCACCACGTGGAAGTTATACAAATGGGCGATGATGGTGAGCAGGTTCTCGCACTCCTTCCCTTTGCCTCCGTTCTTGTAGATGGCGTCAAACCGCTTCACCACGGCCTCCAGAAAGTGAGCGCCGACCTGGACAAAGCAGAGAGAGTGTCACTGTGAACACGTAAAAATCAAACATTAGAAAGCTCTTCGCGGGGATCCTTCTTCCTTCTTCAACGAAACTTAAATGTATGTTGAAAAAACCAGCGTTTTTTTAAGTTAACCCACAAAGCGTCCGCGCAGCAAGGTGTAGACTCCAACACGGCGTGAACGTTAAGCACTGAAGTCGAACGGACAGCATGAGGCCGCCGTGACCGACGACACAAGGCGACCTGCTGTGGCTCCCAACCCCTAAGAACGTCCTCTGGTCTCCAAAATCAACAAGGTCCCGTTTTTGGCCAGCAGCCATTCCGATGCCAAAACGAAAATTACTAAAACCGTCAAGAACACACGTACAGCTCGAGGAACGTCCTGCTGTTTGGCACCCTCGTCTCTCCGGCCCAGGGGAGGCCAGAGGGGCCTCTGGAAGGGCCAGAGGCAGGGGCTCAGCGCTGGCAGGAAGTGATGGCGGCGCACTGGCCACGGAATGAGCGCAGAAACGTGGACGAGGAACCTGAGGGATACACCCTCCTCCTCCGACCACCATCCTGTCCAGATGCGACCTGCAGGGAAACCCGAGCTCTGCAGACAGCAAGACAAACTCAGGCATAAAACATACTTAGGTTTTTCAATCACACGAGCGGAATAATTACGTTAACATTCGTCAAAACTCTACATTCCAGGTAATATCTTCAAAATAAAATATAACTTAGTATGCCTTTTACTTTTTTAAAAAAGATTTTATTTATTTATTAATTTGACAGAGAGAGAGAGAGAGAGCACAGGCAGGCAGAGAGAGAGGAGGAAGCAGGCTCCCTGTTGATCAGAGAACCCAACGTGGGGCTCGATCCCAGGACCCTGAGATCATGACCTGAGTCGAAGGCAGAGGCTTTAACCCACTGAGCCACCCAGGCGCCCCCAATTTATATTTTTTAACATGTTATTTTTTTCAGTAATTCGCACACCCATTGTGGGTGTGGTTCCATGCTGGATCCCACAGCCCCGAGATGATGGGTCGCACGCACCACTGACGGAGCTAGCCAGACCCCTACTTAGGGTAACACTGAAAAATAGGGAGAACATTCCTGCTGCTGCAGTTACTGAGGAACATACGTGAATTCAGGGCGCTTGGGTGACTCCGTCGTTAAGCGTCTGCCTTCGGCTCAGGCCATGATCTCAGGGTCCTGGCATCGAGTTCCACATCGGGCTTCCTGTTCAGTGGGGAGCCTGCTTCTCCCTCTGCCCCCACCCCCCGCTTGTGCTGATAAATGAATAAATAAAATCTTTAAAAAGAAAAAAAAGGTACATCAATTCTAACTTGGGGAATTTAACACGGATCTGTGCACACCTGATTTTTATTTCTAAACGACTCAGAGACAGCTCAGTAACTGACAACACGGGCTTCGTAACAGACTCTCCTTCCGTGAATTCCCGACAGGAGGTTTTTCTCGGGGAGCTTTGGGAGGTGTAACGGCACCAGTGCCGAGGGCTCGTTGCCCGCCGGGACAAGTGCTAGCGCTGTTAGCTTAGGCCAGCGCGCCTCGTTAGCCAACTGCCACGACGGCTTCCCGTAGTGGGCGTCATTTCAGGTGTCCTCTGCGCTCCCGGCGGAGGCGCGAATGACAAGCAGGACCCGTAACCTCTGCTGCTCGAGTCCACGAAGCCCTGCACGTTGTGCGCGGCAGGGCCTGCGGCACTGACCGTCGCTCCGGCTACTGTCTCCGGAGAAGCCTCTGCGGTACGGAGCAGCAGCATGATGCGGGACGGCGGGGGTCCCGCGGAGGCTCCCTGACAATGGCAGTGGGCCCTGGCACTCCCGGGTCCCCTCCTGGTGGGACGGCATCCAGTGACTCCGTTATACCTCACCATGAAGAGAAGGGACTCACGGCGTCTTATGTGAAAACGAGGACGGCTCTTAGAAAAACAGCTGCTTCGGAAGCGAGATTCTCCAAATCGCCAGCACAGACGTCAGGGAGGAGAGTCATGTGCTCTGAAGATTTGGGGCCTGAGCCTCTCTGTGCCCCGCCCAGTGCCCAGAAGGTCCTGGAACCTGCACCTTCCAAACCTCGCCCACCGTGACTGCTGCTGGATGCAAAAGCCTGGTTCCAGGGGTTGTCAGCGGAGAGCACGCAGCCCGCAGGGGCGGCACAGGCGGGAGGAGCGCCGTCCCACCGCAAAGCATCCTCCCGCATCAGGCAGAAGTCAGGACGACGAACCATCCTCACCCCAGCACTGCCTCCCGGCCGCGCCCCACAACGCGCTCGCTGCCTGCAGACCGGGCTGAACCCCCGCGGGAAGACGCCGGTGCAGAGCTCCCGGTGACGGCGAGCCCGTGGCAGCCCCAGGCAGCATCTCCCCGGAGGAACACTGCTGTCACCGCGGAACCTCTAGTGGCGTGAAGGCCACGGAGCCCAGCCGGTCTGTGGCTGCTGGAGGGAAGCCGCACAGGCCTGCTGCGCGAGACTCAGGGGAGTCCTGGGTGCGGTGGACCAAGACAACGGGGGGGGGGGGGGGGCGTGCTGCCAACAGCTCCAGAGCGCTCTGCGGCCGCCCACCTGCCCTCCTGGCCCTGCTGGGACCTGCGAGGATGGGCGGAAGGGGGGCACCCGTGTGCAGACCTGCCCGAGGGGACAGGCCGTTTGCCAGGCTTTGTGCCGAGGCCATTCCTGGAACGAGGGTGATGAGAAGGCAAAGAAACCAAAACCTCCAGGAGAGATCCTGCCCCACAGAAAGCCCCAAAGTGTCACCGAGTCCTTCTCAGGATGAATGTCACCCGAACTATGAGGCCTACTCACCAATCGTCCGTCCGTCCCCGGGCCTCAGTATGAACGCGTGCGATCAGAGCGGTTTCCTCCAACGACCCTGGGACAGGCCACCCCGGGGGAACCGAACACTGCCTGGGAGGCTGGCACTCACCGTATGCAGTGACAGAAAAGGCCTTTTTTATCAGAGCCAGGGTGGGCACCACATGGCCTCCCTGGGGTGAACCCAGAGGCCAGCGAGCGAGGACAGAGCACCCGACGAGTGGGGACAAGTCCTCCCTCAGCGGCGGCTCTCTGGTACCCGGCACCGTGCAGGTGCTCCCTGTGTGCTGCTCGAGTGAGTCCCCACACAGGCCTGCTTCACACACGAGGGCGCGGGAAGGTCTGGGCCCACCCAGAGGGGGCACTGGTGGCTCCAGGCCTCACCCCCGTCACGTGTCCCCCTCGCTGGCTTCAGTCCGGGTCTACCTCCCAGGCTGCTGGCCTCACTGACGAAACATTGATCACCCGGCACGGACACCGGAGGAGCAAGCCCGCACGCGGCACCGTGTTCAGAGTCTGAGACCAGTCCCTGCTGCAGGGGGAATACGAAGAAAAGACCAGAGAGCCTGCTCGACGCACGGCCCCGGGCAGGGCGCCTACCTCGACCCCGACCGTGTGGTGAAGGGTGCTGAGCACCAGCACAGGCTCCATCACCAGCCGGCTGGGCATGGCGGCGTCGGGCGCGCAGGCGCTCAGGAGGACGCCGGTCAGGGTGTCGTTCATGTCCTTCCTGCTGTGGGCCATGTACAGCTCCTCCAGCTGCCCGCTGATGGAGGCCACGCTCGGCTCGCTCAACCTGCAGACGGTGGTCAAAGCAGAGGGGCGGTGAGGCCTCACCCAGGACGGATGCGTTCAGTTGATTTACATCAATGGAAGTCATTGATACTCCCGCTGCCCCGTGTCATGCACACATCTAACCCATGAGCGGCTCTGATCTCGCCCTGGTAACCTAACGTGTACTGCGTATCCTCGCACAGAATCCTCCCTCTCCACCTGAAGCGTGGCCCCGGCGAAGCCCACGGAGGGCTGTCCTGAAGAGCACGGAGACCGTCAGGACGACACGCCACGGATAGCCTGGTGAGCGTCCCAGGCAGAGGCAAGGAAGCAGCCTTACTCCGCACATCAGGCGTGCTGCTGGGAAAAGTGCAACGTCTCCACTTTCCAGCACAAGCTCCTAGTTCCCACACGGAGAAAAGGTTGCTCCCTTGCTGCGTAGAGGGGAAGGGTGGGTAGGGTGCACGACCGCCACCTCACCCGTGCCGACACTCAGCGCTTGCACAGCAAGTTGGGGGAGGGTCTAGGACATATGCTGCTCTGCTCTGTTTTTGCCGTTCACTTTTTTTTAGGGGCAGTTGGGGGGCTCAGTTGGTTAAGTGTCTGCCTTCGACTCAGGTCATGATCCCAAGGTTCTGGGTCCGAGCCCTGCATTGGGCTCCCCGCTCAGTGGGGGAGTCTGCTTCTCCCTCTGCCCCTCACCCCAACTTGTATGCACACGTGTGCACTCCACTCCCTCTCAAATAAACAAATAACATCTTAAAAAGTTTAAAAAAATGTTTACTTGAGAGAGACTTCAACTGCACGTGGAAGTGAGTGCAGGGGAGGGACGGTGGGAGGAAGAGAGAATGTCAAGCTGACTCCTGCGGAGTGCAGAGACCGATGTGGGGCTCGATCTCAGGACCCTGAGATCACATCCTGAGCGGGAATCAAGAGCCGGGACGCTCCACAGACTGAGCCACCCAGGCGTCCAGGAAACAGTGATCTGTTTTCATTAAAAACAAAGCAGTGGGGTGTGGGAGGCGGGGTGGGGGGTAGGTGGGGGGAGGAGAGGACTGGGTATGACCACAAAGGCTAGCAGGAGCCACGTGGTGCTGGGACGGGTCCCGCCTGCACGTGTGCGACCCAGAGGAATGAGCAAGGGGGCTGCTTGCCGCATTCCTGAGCCAGAGCGCCATGCGGGGGAGGACAGGCCCTGCCGGCCCCTGTTCCTGGGACTTCTCAGAACAACCACGTGGGCACCTGCGTGGCTTTCGGACCCTAAAGGGTTCAAAGTACCAAGTGGAAAAGGTGGGCTTCCTGCCTTTCAGGGTACAGATCGCAGGAACAGAGAGGGGCAGACCAACCACCATGACCCCTCCCCTATCGCTTACAGTCTAATTCCAGGCAAAGTTTCTGTAACTTTAGGAAACACATGAGCTCTTGGCACCGCTCGGGATGGCAATGGGCGAGTTACCTGTTGATCAGACCCTTGACGTGTTTCTGCAGCCTCTCCAGGCTCTCCTTTTTCTGACCACTCGCTGTTTCCTCAGCTTGCCTCACGTGAGGGGGGATGTACTTGCCCTCGTCTTCACGGAGACTCTGCTTGAAAGGACAGAATTACAAAAATTTTACGTGAACAAGTTCCTCTTCTCTGCTTGCCATATTCACGTTTCCGCAGGAGAGTCCCAAGGATGGACGGAAGCTGTAATGACCAACCATCGAGGCTTACGCCCCTCAGAAATGTGCTGAGCGCCCTGGGGAGTCCTGAGTGGGGGTCACTGCTGCCCGGAGGGTCAGCATCTTCTCTGCCTTGTGACTTCAGGCCGGCCGCACCTGAGCCCTCCACTCTGCACGAGCCCAGGCTTCCCTGACAGCCGGCCCAGCAGCTCACATGCACCTCAATCCCGTGCACCCCCAGTCTGGAGGGAGAGTGTCCTAAAGTGACTCCAATCTCGTCCAAAGCATCTACAGACACGTGGCAGAATCCGCCCAGCGCTCACTATCCCTAGGTCCGACACGCGGAGGGCTACACGTCACTACTCTGACCCACACTCCCCGGGGCCCCGCGCAGGCTTTGGGAGACAAACACGGCGGCATGATCCACACCGTCAGGGGGTTACGCCGGGCGGGGGAAATCACATTTATGCACCCAGAAACCGCGGCTCTCGTGACCCCCGTGAGCTCAGGCCGCACGTGAACAGACTTTCACAGCCTGTGAAAGCAGTCAGGACGCGACCAAGGCTCTCGGAGAGGACGCAGACCAGCACACACCTGCGCGGGGCAGATGCCGGGGCAGAAAGCGGTCACCGCGAGACGTGCCCAAGAACGTGCGTGGGGCCCCGACTTCCCCTGCAGCTGCCGGCTGAGGGCACCGTGTGAACAGCGAGGCGCAGCCCGGGAAGGCCTCGCTGCTCTGTCCTGGATCCTGACTCCATTTTCGGTGCACGACCCTACCCCAGGGAGCGCGTCCGACCGGCTGTTTCGGATGCGCCGCGGGAGCAGCGGGACAGGAAAAGGACTCGGGGAGGGCAGAGCCGCAGCGGCGCTGCAGGCCTCCCGCACCTCGGCGGCCGGAACAAAGGGGGCGGGGGTCCAAGTTGGCTTCGGACACCGAGCGAAGCAGAGTCCACCTTAGCACAACCGAGGGGGGGCGGCCACCAGCTTTCTGGGATGAAAAGATCTTTAAGGGTGTTTTCTCCCGGAGCTGCTCCTTGTGGGATTACAGACACAACAACCCGATTCGCCACACGTTGGCTGGACAAGTGCCAGCACCTCGGTGGGCCGCCTCGGCCCCAGTCTGGCCACCCCCTCCCTTCAGGCAGAAGGCAGAGAACCGAGCTCCCACCGACCTGGTCCGCTGCGTCCGAGTCCTCCGGAGCAGGCTCCCTCCTTCCGTCGGCGAACCGGACCCTCCTTTCGCTCCTTCCGCCCGCGGCTCGCCCTTGCGGGGCTTGTTGCCCGTCGTCGTCGTCGTCTACGTCCGCTTCCTCGGTCTCTGCTCCGGTTTCTGCTCCCGGCCGGCCCTCTTCTTCCTCACCCTCGTGCGGCCCTTCACCCTCGGTGCCGCTGTCGGTGCCGCTGTCGGGCAGCGTCTGTCCAGCGTCCTCCTCCTCGTCCTCGTCCTCCGCACGGCCGCCTTCGCACCAGCCGCCGTTGTGTCCGGGCTCCAGGGCCCCCAGGAGGTAGTCGAGCCCATCCCGGGCGAAGCTGAGCGGCACGGAGCTCCCGCCGCCCTTCCTCTTGCGCTTGTTCAAGCCGAGGCGCCGCTCCAGCTTCCGGATCTCCCGGTCCTCCTCCTCGTTGGCCGCCAAAAGTGCCCGTTTTCGAGCGGCAGCGGCGGCTGCAGAGGGCCTGGGGGTTCCGGGGGGACCTCTGGGCTCGGGGCGGGCCCGGGCGCCCTTGGCCTGGGGAGGTCGCAGCCCCTCCGACGGCGGCGGCGGGGCCCGACAAGGAGACCGCCGCCCGCCCGCCCCCGCCGCCCGGGGGCCGCTCGTTCCCCCGGCTCCGCCGCCACCGCCCGCACGCGGGCCCTGCGCGAGCCCCGCAGTCCTCCGCAGCCGGCGCGCCTTCCTCAGGTGCCGCTTCTCCTTCCTCAGCTCCCTGCGGCTTTTCCTCCCGCCCGGCCGCACGCGCCCGCCCGTCGGGGGCCCCGCGGCGCCGCCGGGGATCTCACCCTCGGAGCTCGCCTGCACGAACTCCTCCACCGCGAGCTTTAGCCGCTTCAGGGCCCCCTCGGTGCCACCGCCCGGCCCGCGGCGTACCCCGCGCCCGTGCTGCCTGTGGGGTCCCGGCCCCCGGCGGCCGAGCCGGCGCGCCGCTCCAGCGCTCGCGGACACCGCCATTTTCCCCCGCTGCTCCTACGCCGACTTCCGGTCGGGGCGGGACTTCCGGACAGAGCGGGCGCTGTGCGGGGCAGACCGGCGCCCCCTGCTGGCGGGAGGGCGGCAGCGCAGGGAACCGCCCGGGAACGAGCAGCACCTGCTCTCAGAGCCGTGTGACGAGCGCACAAATACGTGCTCATCTAACGCAGGACACCTTACCGCTCGCGGTGAAGAGGCCTCTTGGGGACCTGCCGCAGAAGTAGGCGTCGTTGTCTGCAGGGGGTGACTCTTCAGACGCGCTTGCGTCTCCGCATCCGTAGGGAGAACATTAGTGCTGTTTTCTGTGCATTTTACCGGGAAACTTCAGCCGAGCTTGTTGTTCTGAAAGTTGCTTCTCTCACTCAGCCTCGGGCCTCGGATCTCCCACGTGCCGCGCAGCGGCTCACCTCATTGTTTGGTAGGGTGGCCTGGCTTCCTGGGGTGCCGTTCCGTGGTTTCTCTATCAGTACACCTGCCTGGGGAGGAAGCATCCCTGACCGCCAGAGGCTGGGAACGTGGCCTTGTTGGAAATAGGGTCTGTGCAGCTGTAATCAAGAGGAGGTTACACCTGGAGCGCATATAACACTGTATCTTAGTTATCCTTCAGTTAAAAAAAAAAAAAAGGTAAGAGGAGGTTTTCCTGGATTTCCCAGCGGGAAGTTGGGTCGCACGGGGAGAGGGTCACAAAGAAGCAGCTATACGCCAGGGAGCGCCAAGATTTGCGGGAACCGGAGGGGCTGGAGGAGTTCTGGGACAGATTCTCTGCTGGAGCCCCGGGAAGGAAGCAGCCGGGCCCGCACCTCCGTTTCCCACGTCCAGCTTCAGGACGGAGAGGAGGCATTCCTGCTGTTGAGGAAATGAGTACAGCCCACGGGAAGGAGACATGTGGAAGCACCCAGGGCCTGCTGGTGAGCAGGAAGGAAAAGCCTTGGAAAGGACAAGAGTCACAACCAAATAAAAGTTCAGAACTCAGGGTTCTCAGCAGCCCGGGCTCTGGGGCTGGGGTTCAAACCCTGACCTCTCCGCTTCCCAGCTGTGTGAACTCACGGAGTCTCAGTTTATCTGCAAAATGGGCGGATGATAGTGCCATGCACTGGGCTGTTGTAAAGACGAACAGGGTTTTACAAAGTAACTTCCTCGTTTGGTTTTCATGGTGCAATTTGCACTGCTTCCCTCTTGCTGTCCCCCAGGGCCTCTGCCAGGCTCTCTGTCCTCAGTCTGTCCCATCCTCAACCTTGTCTGATGCTGCTAGTGGTCTCCTTTCTCATCTTTATTTGGGGCTGCGGTGCTCCCCATGCCTACCTGTGAGGGCTTGTTCTCCTGGGCTACGGACACCGGGAATGAATGTGTTGAAGGCCGAAGGTAGGAGCCTTCAGGGCGGAGAGACGCCGTGTTGTCAGCTGGTGCAGGTCACCAAGCTCCTAGAGAAAAGTGTCAGGGGAGGCAGGGTTCCCCCGGGGGACAGCTGCAGTCCGGGGGGTCTGGGGCTCAGGAGCAGGTGCATGAGGTGCTGGCCTACCACTGCTTTCTTGGGTGCCTGTCCTCCCCGGCCCTGGCCGTGCCCAAGGGCGAAGCAAGAGTGGGGATGAGAAAGCTTGTCTCCGTGTCCTCACCTCCAGGCTCTTCAGGGCTCTGGCTTCTGCTGTCATGCCCTGGGATCCGTGCTCCCCTCTCGTTGAATAATTTCTTAGATACTCACTGGGGAGAGGGAGCCAGAGACGCTTGTTTCTAACCCATTTTGACAGGACCCAAATGAATCAAATCCATTCACTGATACAGAGTCCTGGTGGGGGGGCGGTTGGGCATGTCGTCACTTGAGCCGTTGGTGTCCATGACCTCCCAGATCATCGGGCGTTTGTGAATCATTCTGAGCCCGGGGCTGGCCCTGGCTTCCTTACGAGGAGGTTCTGTCCTGATGCCACGGATATCAGGACTCCAGGAGGGACTGATGTGGGTAAATCTTGAAACCCTAAAGTGAGGGAGGCCTTTGGCATTTTTTTCTGGCTGCTTCTCACCTGGAGGAGCTCTGTTCCAAACCTGCAAACCGCCCCAGCCCCACTGGAAAGGAGGCTCTTCTTCCCCAGTGAGAGCAGCTGGGGGCAGGGCAAGCAGCGGCTTCACCGTCTTGTTGCCAAGACGAAGAATGAAAGCGTAAAACCATCCGTTAATGGCACAGGCCCACGCAACAAGGGTCCGAGCAAGTGGTAGCAGCGGGTGCTGGCGCGGGCACGTGGGTAGGCTCGTGCACAAAACGAGCTGGGTGTGGGGCAGGGCCAGGTGTGACAGGTTTGGCAGCCCCCGCCGCGTTTTCATTCTGGGAGCACAAGGAAACCAGGGGACTGCTTTAGGGAGAGCGGAGGGTCTCAGTGTTTGGGGGGGCTGGCGAAAGAGATTTGCAGCGTGAAAAGCCCTGCCTGCAGGGCTGACGGAGGCGGGTCGGAATGGAAGGGCAGACGTGGGGCCGCTGCATCAGACACTTGTGCCCCAGCCTGGAAGGAATTGCGGGCTGGGCTTTGCCTGAGAGCTTTATACAAGTAATAGCATGAATGATCTATTAAGAGTAATATGAGATACGACTTGAAGCGTAGCCTTTAACTGTGTCTTTGTCCGACTGTGACAGAATGCCACAGATGGGGCCTGAACAGCACACGTTTATGTCTCACAGTGCCAGAGGCTGAAGGTCCAACGTCGGGGTGCTAGTAGTCTCAGTGTCTTGTGAGACCCCCTAACTGGTCACCAATGACATCTCGTTCTGTCCTCACTTGGTGTAAGGGAGAGGAAGGGCTTGGGGTCCCTTCTATTAAAGCTCTAATCCCAGCCTGGGGCTCCACCTTCCCGCCCTACCCACCTCCCGAGGTCCCCCCTCTACCTACACTGGGGGTGAGGACTTGAACATGTGAATTTGGGGGGGGGCGCAAATATTCTGTCCATAACACTTAGGCTCACAAACTTTTTTTTGTTTCAATGCACATGTTGATTAAAAATATTTTTTCTGGGGCACCTGGGTGGCTCAGTGGGTTGAGCCTCTGCCTTGGGCTCAGGTAATGATCTCAGGGTCCTGGGATCGAGCCCCGCATCGGGCTCTCCGCTCAGCAGAGAGCCTGCTTCTCCTTCTCTCTCTGCCTCTCTGCCTACTTGTGGTCTCTCCCTCTCTCTGTCGAATAAGTAAAATTAAAAAATTTTTTTTTCTAATGCAAAATCATTCCAGCTCATCATAAAAAATGGAAGCTTTTTTTTTTTTTAAGATTTTATTTATTTGACAGAGAGAGACAGCACAAGCAGGGGGAGTGGGAGAGGAAACAGGCTCCCCGCTGAGCAGGGAACCCAATGCGGGGCTCGATCCCAGGACCCTGGGATCAGGACCTGAGCTGCAGGTGGACGCTCGCCCGATGGAGCCCCCAGGCGCCCCAGACCGGAAGCATCGTGGTTACACGTGTAACGTAAGAGGCACGTTCTCTGTGTGCTTTTCTCCAGGAATGTGTATCCTTCTGGATATCCAATGTGATACTAACTTGCATTATGATGGTGATGATAGTGATTATTTTTTACCGAAACAGGATCTATTGTCTTGCAATCTATGAGAGATACAGCTTAGGTTTCTTTTCACATCAGCAGCTTGGGGCCTGACCGCTGCTGAGCAGAGGCCTACGGAACACAGCACCGGAGTCCCCCCCAGACCCCCTGAGTTAGAATCTGCGTTCCACAGCCTCCAGGATGACCCTGGGCATCGGAGAGGCCTGATTTGGGATCCACCACTCCTTCCCGTGGCTTGATGGGCTCTGCTCTCGCAGCTGGGTGCTAATGAAGAATATTCATGGTTTCCTTTTAAAAACCCAGCTCTTGCTCTCCTAACAAACACTCTAGCTCGCGTCATGTGTGTGTCTGCAGGGCTTGGGCACAGGTTCCGCACCACCGTCCTCTTGGAAGTTGCTTCCAGGAACTGGATACGGGTATTTTTGGAATGCACTGATAATGCCACATTTGCGACCTCAGAGCTGTGCCCGTTTGTGCTGCAGTCGTGGGAGTGAGCCCCTGTCCCCGCAGCCTCTCCTTCACAGCGCCTCCGGGGTTTCATCTTCGCCATCTTGTGGGTGACCTTGTCGGTGGCCCTTGGCTGCGAGGTCACACACACCCCCCTTCTTCTGCCTCCTTCACCACCCGGCCTGCTGAACCGCAGCCCAGACGTCTTCCCCAGCATCCACACTGGTGCCCTGCCAGAGAACATTCAGCCAGACCAGAGTCTCCTCCTCTCCATCCCGGTGGCCCCTGCCCCGGGCATCTCCTGCCTTTGGCTCTCTCCAGTCCATGGGTTGCCAGAGTGCTCAGTCTCACCCTGAGTCTCCCCTTGCCGTTCTCCCGCGGATGATCTTTCGTGGCTCCCGGAAGAACCAAGTTCAAAGCCTTCCAGCCCACTTGGGTCCCCGCCCCCGTGCCCCCCACTGGCCTCCCTTCTGCACGTGTCCTGGTTTGGCAGTTCACTTCGTCTCGTACCTCCTCGACTGTTCTCTGGCTGGAAGTGCCCCTTCTGCACGATCACCCCCTGCCTTGCCCAGACACAGCTTCCTGCTTCCCTTGACTGCTCCCCTCTGTCTCCCCAGCCGGACAGTTCAGCTTCTGTCTTCTCCTGCTTGCGGCAGCCATGTGTGGGCCCCCAGACCTGCTTCTGTTCCTGGCTGGCAGTGACCACTCAAGTATTTGTTGGAATGCCCAAGTGCAGTCACACCGGGGCCAAAAAGAACTTTGAGAGTCTTTCCCTCGCTACGTTAATCAGCTACAGAAAGTCTGGGTCTGGAGCCGCAAGGTCCGGTCTCCCTCTTGACGGCACTCGGGTGGCTTTCGGCCGCAGCCCCCAGGGGCAGGTCAGACGTGGAGAAGGACATTTCCGTGGGAGAAGTGCCAGGGCACCTTGGCTCTTAGACGAGCGTGCACGGGCCTTGAGTGTTGTGTCTGGTAGAGGTCGGCCGTCAGGTGCCGCCCTCGCACACCACTCTCCAGAGGACTAAGGAGTTGTCCCTGAGGCACAGACCTGCACTGACATCTCTCGTGCAGTAAAGAAAAGGAACAGAGTCGTAATTGTCTCTTGTGATCTTCAGTGTTTTCGTTCACAAGCCGACTGTTTGTCACACGAAGA